AATCCTAACCAATTTATTAGTTAAAAATGTTATCTCATTGGTTTAATTGACCAGCATGTGAGCAGTGAGACTGAACATTTTTTCCATATGCTTATAGCTATTAGCCATTTGTATTTTCGACTGTAAATTGTTTATGTATTTGCCTGTTTTCTATGTTGTTCTGATTTATAAAAGTTAATATAAAATTATATTCACCTGTTATGTAGCCCATTTGTTTTATCTATTTCCAAGTTTTTTTCTTTTTAACTTTCAATTTTTATTGCTACATTAAATTTGTTTTTCAATTTATATTTAGAAAGTCATTCATTTTTAGAATTAATCAAATATCCATCTATGTTTTCTTCTAAGTATTTTATACTTTCATTTTTTAGATATATTTCTTTAAGTTCTAACTTTTATTTTCAGTATATGGTGTGAGGTAAAGCCCCAACTAGGTATTTTAATACAATTCTCTACACACAGTTGATGGTACCATTTCTTATCTACTGTGATGTATACTTTATAAAATATTAACTTACTTAATCTCTAAAAAACCCTACGAGATAGCTAACTGTTATCATCCACATGTTACACCTAAGAAAACAGGCACAGAGCGGTTCAGTAAGGTGTCCAAGGTTATACAGCTAGTAAATGGCAGAGACAGAATCTGACACAGGTAGTCTGGCATCAGAGACCACTCTTAATTAAACTAGTTAAATTGTAAATGAGTTAATATTTGTAAAGAATCTAGAACAGTGTTTGGCACATAGTAACCTTTGCATAAATGTTTATTGAATAAATGCAATGAAAATGTCATGGACTTATCTATCCTAAGCTCTATTTCAAGAATACCTGTTTGTATTCCAGTGATCTGTCTTGGGTTTTTCTGTTCTATTTTTTTTTTTTTTTTTTTAGCTGAGCCATCCTGCTACCTGTTGGCAGCTCAGCGGCTGCTCAGCTCGGGCTTTTCTGTTCTATTTTTGATTAAAATAGCATTTTAAAATCTGATAGGGCAAGCCAACACCCATACACGCTATGCTTTTGTAACACTTTCCTTACTGGTTTTGCCTGCTCATTCTTCCAAATAGACTTTTTTACCCATAATTAATTATGAAAATTTCAAATATAAAGAAAAGTTACAAGAACTATACAGTGAACACCCCAGATAAACTTTCAAATAATGTATTTCAAAACTCAAATAAAAACAAAACAAACCCCAAAACATCTGCTTTTGAGGGGTTGCTGGAAACTAATCCACACTAAGGGTTAATTTGATAATATCAATATTAGTACAAATTAGTATTCTCCTTCAGAAATATGATTTGTTTCTCCACTTATTCAGGTATTTCTTTGTGTTTCCTAGTAATTTATGTTTGTTTTGTCACCCAAATTTCTTGTTAATAGTAACGAGCAATTTTTTTCCTTTGATTGCCTTGGTGAAAAGGCAAGGTTTTTTTCTTGTGACATTTTCACTGGTTATTGTCAGGCATTGGGGATACAAATTAACATAAAAAATTGTATCATCTAGTGGAAGGATGTACCAGAATTATAGAAGAATTGTTAATGAATTCACTTATCTCAACATCTATTGAGCATACGTATGTGGTACGTGGTAGGACAGGTTCTGAAGACACATGGATGAATGTGTCCGTTTCTTTGTCCTTGGGGAGCTGATAAGACTCTTGGGAAAGATTAATAGGTGGTCTAAATAATATAAAGCAAGGCAATAAAACGCCACAAGGAAGGTCAATGAGGCTACATCAAGGAGATAATATTTGGCACACAATGCCAGGTAAACAAAAAGTTCACCTGGAAAAGAAAGGAGAAAGTGCGGCAGAAAGAACTCATGTAAAGGTATGGGAAGTCGGGACATTTCTGTGTGAAAGGTGAAGGAAGGCAAATGGGAATTACGAGGGACAAGTGGAAGAGCGCTGCCTTTGTTTGGTGTAGCTGACATTTGGGGTATTTGAATGGCAGTGAATTCCGGAAAGGTAGGTAGAGGTATAATATGTAAGGATTTTGAACTTTATAATCAAAGTAATAGGGTAGGCAAAGGTTTTGAAGCAGGAGTTTTGATTGGAATTTGTTTTTGACAAAAATCATTCTGGCACCAAGGATAGCTTGGAATGGGAAGAAAGGCCGCTGGAAAGATGGTGGGAGTCACACTGTGAAAAGCACTGCATACCCTAGGGAGCTAAACCTGCCGTTTGGACCTTAACTTGCAGATAACAGTGATGAGATCAAATAAGTCATCAAGTAGTAAAATAAGCTGTGACAAGGAGTGGCACAGACAATAATAACTGTAGGCATTCAGGGGAGGGAGTTATCACCACATCAGGAGATGATCTCGTCCTTAAAGTCAGACCTAGGGGCCGGCCGAGTGGCTCAGTTGGTTAAGAGCTCACTGAAGAGTGTGAACTCTGAGCAATAGAGGTTCGATGCCCGGCCCGAGCTGAGCTGCTGTGGAGCTGCCAAAAGGTGGCAGGATGGCTCAGCTAAAAAAAAAACAAAACACACAAAAAACACACAAAAAAAGTCAGACCTAGGCAGGAATCCCGGCTCTTTCTCTCATCATCTTTCAACAAACTTTATAGCCCTTTGAGCCTCAATTTCCTGACCTCTAATAAAACACCAAGGCCAATAATACCTACCTAAACACCTGTTTTGAGGGCTAAGTGAGAAAAAAACGTCTTCAACACCAAATACATAGTAGATCCTCAATCACCCTTATTTCCAACCATGCCGGCTCCTCCTACCTTGACTGAGTTTATAGTTGAGAAATTTGCATTTTTCCTTATCACTCTTTTCATGCTCCTGTACTTCTCAAAATCCTCTACCCACTTTCCTTTTTCATGTCTATATTCTTGCACTTACATGCTACCTGAAGACAAATTTCTTTTTCTCATATATTCCTTATCCTCTCCTTGTGTTTTACCTTTCAAATCAACAAGAGCATTCTAGATCTGAAAGGACCAGCTCCACCCCCCACTCCCCCAGTCCAATACACTATATCACATTTCTTAAGATTTGCTTTGCTAATTCTTTCTATCTGATTCCAGGGTCAAAGATCTTGACTGATAGAGCAAGCATTTAGCTTAGGGAGACAACCACTTATTCATCTCCCTCCTCCGGCTTCTGAGAAAATAATACTGCACAACTCAAACATCTTGGGAGAGTGAGAAATATGAACTGATATCCCCCCCCCCTCTTCTGCCTTCTTAGGTTTGGGCCCAGAAGTCAACCAAATGATGTCTTTGTCAATAAAATCCTAGTGCCTGCAACTCAACCCAAAGATTGACATCATTGTCCCCAAACCCATTTTGCAATCTGTAATCAGTTTTTCACTGTAAAAAACAACCAACTGCATTATGTAAATTTGTCATAGTGCTGATTATCAGGAAAGAGGAGTATCTTGTGTTCTTGATAAATATTGATTTGTAAATATATCCAGAGCTGAAGCTGCAATATTCTTTTTTTTTTTTTAATTGGGGAACAGTGTGTTTTTTCCAGGACCTATCAGCTCCAAGTCAAGTAGTTGTTTCAGTCTAGTTGTGGAGGGCGCAGCTCACAGTGGCCCATGTGGGGATCAAACCGGCAACCTTGGTGTTGTGAGCACTGCACTGTAACCAACTGAGCTAACCGGCCACCCCTCAATATTCATTTATTTAACAAATCTTTATTGAGATCTCTGTGCCAAGCATTGTTCTAAGCTCTGAGATAGAGCAGTAAACAAAGTCCTCGCTCCAGTGGAGCGTGCATCTTAGTGGGAGAGACAGATAATAAATAAGCAAATGCATTAATATGGATAAAATATGTCAGCTGGGGATGTGTACTATGGCTACAAATAAAACAGAATAAGGGGGAGAGGGGGTGAGAAGGTAGGAAGGACTATTTTAAAGATTTTTTTTGTTTTATTGGGGAATTGGGGGATGGGAACAGTGCTGGAGAATTGGGGGAAGGGGAACAGACAAGTTGCTGTCCTTTTGTTCTTCAGTCTAGTTGTGGAGGACGTTGCTTCACTGGCCCAAGTTGCCACCATCATTGCGCTCTTTCCGGGTGAGGCAGATCAGTCGCCGGCTTCTGGACGGCCGCTCACTGAGGCTGCTGGCCGCTCACGCTGGCTGCTGGCTACACACGATAGCCCATGGCAACCCACTGCCACAGGGGCTGCAGCCTACGCCGCCGCTGGCGACTCACGGCAGCCCAGCTCCAGGTTGAGCTGTTGTTCAGCATCTTAGCTGCAGAGGGCAGTGTCACTGGCCCTCATATGTGGGATCCGAACCGGGGCCCTCTGGCATCCCAAGCCAGTTCTTAACCATCGCGCCACTCGGCCAGCCTGGAAGGACTATTTTAGATAAATGAATTTGTTTTCTTTCATTTCTCTTTTTTTAATTATCAAGGTATAACATACATGCTGTAGAGTAGGTCAAATGTACAGATATATACAACTTGAATTTTTACATACACTCATGTGACCACTGCCCAAGCTAAGAAATAGAACATGGACAGTGTCCCAGGAGATTCCCTGGTGCCCCCTCCCTGTCAGCTCCCTCCGAAAGCAAATGGCTACATATTCTGACTTCTGCTACGGTTGAGAAGTTTTAGCTGCTCTTGAAATTCAAATACATGGCATCCTAAGGTATGTATCCATTTTGTGTCTGGCTTCTTCCACTCGGCATAATGTCTGTGAAATTAATCCATACTGTTGCATGTAAAGACAGTTGTTCTCTTTATTGCTATGTAGTATTCCATTTCATGATTAGATCACAATTTATCAGTTCGCCTGTTGATAACATTTGGATCCTTTCCAGTTTGAGGTTATTATGAATAAACCTGCTGTGTTCTTGTATATGTCCAGGCGTGGAATTGCTGGGTCATAGAATAGGTAGGTGTATGTATAGTTTTAGTAATTAATGCCAAACAGCAATTGAACCAGTTTACACTCCTGCCAGCAAAGTATGAGCGTTCAATGCCTCCGCGTCCCTGCTAACACTTGACTGTGTCCGTCTTTTTCATTTTAGCCATTGTACGAGTCTGTGTGTATAAAATGACTTTTAAGCAGAGACCTGAAAGAGGTGATGCTCGGCTTGGAACACTTGGCCTCCATAAGAGAAGTATGAAGGCCTCAGGCAGAAAGAAGTGTGTGGTTAGAGAAGCAAAGAAGCCTGTGGGGCTGGAACTGAGTAAGCCATGGAGACAGTAACAGGAGATGAGGTAAGAGAAGTGGGGGCTGGGGCGAAGGACAAAATAAGCCATTGTGAGGCTTTACTGCTGGGATAGAGAAGAAATCACTGGAGGGTTTTGAGCAGAGGCTAGACGTGATCTGACGCAAGTTTTTAAGTGGACCCCTTTAGCTGCTCTGCGGAGAAAATACTGAAGAAGAGCAAGGGATGAAGAAGGGAGAGGTTCCGCCATAATCCAGGAGAGAGATGGTCTGGGCTTGGGTCAGGGTGGCGGCATGGTAAGAAGAAGTAATAAGGCATCTGATTCTGCGTATGTTTTAAAGGTAGATCTGGCAGGGTTCTCTGATAGGTTTGGGGTATAAGAAAAATAAAGTATCAAGCATAATTCCAGGTTTCCAAGCTTGGGCAGGATGGGATTGAACCAAGGTCTTCTGTACAAACTTTTGGGTATAACTGACCCCACAGAGAATCCGGCAGGGATCACTCCTTCAAACCTCATTATAATAACACCAAGTTTAGGAAATAGTCCCTGTGACAGCTTTGCTGGGACAGCCTCGAACCTACTTATACCTGTCATCAAAAAACCATTTCTACTGGAGGGATTTAAGCCAGTTTACAATGATAACAGACAAAGAGTGGCTCTGTTTATAAACCTCCTCCAAGGGCTCTATACACTTCACAAATCCCCCACGGCCAGCTGCTTCACCTCAAAAACAAAGCCATTTAAAAAGCAGAGACGTCAGCGGTGTGGAAGAGGCAAGGGAATCTAGGTCGGGAAAACGAATGCCTTCTCATAAGCAAATAGCACAAAGCTATCTGTAATGCTTAGTTAAGGTAAATAGAGCCTTGGGTCTTACAAAAGAGCTCAGAAATGACCTCGACAGGAAACAAAAGTATTCCTCTTCTATCCCAGTGCAAAGCAAACCTAAGGGAATTGAATAAAATGATCCTGGTCAATAAAAAGTACAAGATTCATATCAAATATGCACAACACAGCTGTTTTGCTTTCTCAAGAGAATTATCCAAAATGCTTACGAGTCAGGTTTTCTCACCTGACAACAACAAAACCCCACAGATTTCTGCCTTTACTGCCTTCCTCAGGGGGTGAGAAGCGTACACTACAATTTGTGTCACCCTCCTCTGAAAAAGTGGAATTGAAAAACTTTCAAGTGACAGAAAAAGTGTGACTAATCATTCGTAAGCTATGCTAAATATGAAAAGCATGAGGAAGTGGCATCTTTCACTGGCTTTTCCTGGTGACAACTAATGGCCCACATAGTCAAGTCATATTCAAAAACTGAGGGTGGAACCTGAGATTGCCACACATTCACCAGTGCAAAGCTGATTTGATCATTTACATGAAAGTCAAATCTGTAGCCTTGGCCTCATCACGGGGTCCTAATTAACTGAACTAACCAGTCCTTTATGCCCGGGGATTGGCAAGCTATCGCTCACAGCCCACAAGCTAAGAAGTTTTTACATTTTTAGATGGTTGAAAAAATAAAATCAAAAGAAGAATAAAATTTTTCATATAAAAAATTATATGAAAGGCAAATTTCAATATCTATAAATACATTTTTATTGGAACATACCCCCACTTATCCATTTAGGTAGGAGCTATGGTTGCTTTTACATTGTAATAGCAGGGTTGAGTAGTTGTGACAGACCCTCTAGCCTGCCAAGCCTAAAATAGTTACTATCTAATCCTTTACAGGAAAAGTTTGCCAATTCCCTGCTCGATATCACACTGATGTATAAAGGCAGAAATAACAGTTGAAGGAACTTGTATTTCCAACCTGCAATTGAGGACACATCCTGGAAATGGAAAAGCACAGACGCAAAACTGGTTAATGTTGCATGTGTTATAGCTTTTACCTGCAGCCCTTGGCGTTCATTCTTTCCAGGCAATAGAAAGGAGAGCGATCACTTTTCCAAGAAAGGAAAGGGATACTAATCCATTTAATCAGCTAGAATCAGATACTATTCATGTCTTCTGCTCTTAGATGGTTCTTTTCCATGGGGAGTTAGTAAAAGAGAAAAGGGTGCTTAGCGTCAGATAATACCCAATGGTGGTTTAGTCAGCCTGCGCACAGTTGGGCTACAACTTTCAGAACAAATTTTCAGAGCAGACACCTTGCCTGCCTTTTCCACTCCTGTATCCCTAGAACCTCCATAGTGTGAGCACTCGAAGATTCGTTGAATGAACACATAATAATAAACTCTGTGCACACACTTATAAAGAAAGTTGGCTACGGTGTCTCACGTTTTCTTCAAGCCATGGTGTTGAACAAAATGAACCATTTTGACCTTGGCCTCTCATTGCTTTGGAGAAACTGCAGCAGCAACACTTGACACCTCTGCTTAACCTCAGGATTAGAGCATTCCAAAACAGAGTGGCCCCTCATCCCCTCTCTGAGCTTAGGTCAAAGGGCAAGGACTGGGTGCAGGCCCCACAGGAAGATTCATTTCTGATTCCAGCTTACTGGGTTGGCCAAGATCAGATAGGCCTCAGGCCAGTGGGAGCAGAGTCCTGTTTACAAGCTTGCTCAACCTCCTTATCTCCTCTTCCTGCAGTCAAAGCTCTCCGCCTCATCCTCCAAGTGTTTTTCAAGGACTGCTGACTATGTGACAAGAAAAGACCAACCCGAACAAAATAAAACCCAAATAGGAATGCTTATATTTGCACAAATGAAGCTATTTTATCTTCATTCGCTAAATTCTGGAAGAAGTCCATAGATCCCTAGCTTTTTTTTTTTCCTCATTGCAAATATTAACTAAATTATCTGCACATTAATTCTGAAGAATGTTGTTGTTGTCCACCCAAAAAAAGAGTTTCCATAACTCAGTTTCTCTTGTCCTGCTCTTTTCAACTTGGAAGTTTTAATGAGGATCTGCCATGTGCTTCATGTGGGAAAGTGGGAAATAGCAGAGGTGAATAAGGTGAGCTCAGTGTTAACAAAAGTTGGTATCGTTGTACATGACTACAACACCCCAAGGAAATGTGAAGCTTATATACCTACACTACACATTACAGACAGAAAAAAAAAAATGTAAGAAATCTTGGCTCCCCTGGACAGTAGTTACTTTTTATGACTACAACAAAAATTCCAACAAGAGCATTTTGGAGTCTTTATGCTATCGTGTATGATCTTTTAAAGAATGTTGTCTAAGTAGTTTCAAGAGATAAACATCCAGAACACTGCTGGTTCTCCAAAATATTAAATACAAATGCACTACCAGCTAAGAATGAAAATTTACTGTAAAAAAGTAAGGAAACAGAGGAATAAGTCAGATCTCCAGGTTGTCTCCAAATTCAGATGATAAATATTAAACTTTACTGTGTATATCATGAGCTTTGCCATCAGAAAACCTCAGTTGGGATACTCTGCAATTTACTGATCATCAACCTTGAGCAATTCTCAGAATTCTCTGAGCCTATTTCTTTAGGACTATCTCAAAGGACTTCTACAAGAATCAAGGAAGGTAATATATATATAAATGCCTTAGAAATACTAATTTCCCACCAATCCCTTCAGAGGGACTGCATCTTATTCCTTAGTAAATCCCCAATATCTAGGACAGTGCCTGGTACATAAAAGACACTGTCGAGGCTGCTCACTCGTGGGCTGTGAAAGGATGCACATGACAGGTAGAAATACAGAAGGAAGATTTATTAGACTAAGAGGAGGGTCAGCTGGGCAGTCTGCTGGAGACTACTGCCTCGAATCTTTGTTTCCTCTGAAGTTGGCAGGAGGAGAGGGAGGCAAAGAAAAGAAAGAAAACTTTCAAAAAGTCCCAAGCTAAATTACACTTGTTAAATCAAATTATACCAGAGGTCCAAATCTCAAAATAGAAGATTTAGTGCCACCTTTACAATCCCATCTTATCATACCTTACCGTATATTCTTTTGAGGTACTTTTCTATGGAGAGATACAACTATAAATAAATGCATTTTTACCAAAATGAGATTATATATACATGTTGCCTTATAATCTTCTTCAATTTAATGATCTCTACCTACTCATTTCAATAACTCTTCATCTCATTTAACACCCATATAAATATTTCACCAATCTCAAAAAGGCCTTGACTGCTGGTTTATCAAAACCAGGATTTAATCTAGAACCATACACCTGGGCGTTATGTCCTCTAAGTCTCTTAATCTTGATGAAGTGATAACACGTGCAGATCTCTACTTGCACAATAAAGTTATAGGGGCTCCTCCTTCAGTCCTTGAGACTTGGCTTCTAGAGTACACAATGATGTTTCCACTTTGAACTTTGTTTTCCACTTCCACTTTGAATGACTGTATGTCAGGAATGTCATAGAAGGTTATTTCTACCAAGCCTGGCAGAATCTCAGACTTTACCCTAAACCAAATATTAGTTGCATAGAACATAGAGGTCAGGTAGCGAAATATGAACATTTCAAATAGAATGTAGAAGGAAGAACATGGAATAACTGACTTCTACCTGATCCTGCAGGAAGATGTAATTCATGTCCCCAGAGGAAACAGGGTACCAGAGAGGCTACAGGATTTCTGTCACTCAGGGATTTTTCAGGAATTAGTGCTAATAATTAGCTTCAAGAACCCAAAAGAAAGACACCAGAAATTCAAAAGATGGTAAAGCTCATTAACTTTTATGTTTTCCTATAGGAGCTCTTCAAAAGCAATTTGCCAGGTTTTAAATTCGTTTTACGAGAGCTCAGGTTTAGATATTATTCAAATCAAATCCTTGGTTTCTAAGAAAGTTTTCACAATTGAATGAGGAAGCAGTAAGACAAAGCAGTATCATGAAAATCCTTCACAGTCCATTGTAGCCTACACTATGTTTTCACTAATGCCTGAAAATATCCTGAGAATAGAAAGATGACTTTGGAATAATTAAAACAGGACAGAACAGATGACAAAAAGAGAAAGGCAAGCTACAGAACAATATGAATACTATGATTTTTTTGTGATAAAATGGAATGGTTTGTTTATACTTGAAAATATTCTGAACACATGGCAGACAATTGTCATTTTTGAGATGTAAAACTGGCTGAAGAACAAGAGATCCACTTTTTACTCTATATATGTCCATAATTTTTGGATTTTAAAAACAACATTTTTACCCTCTGATGTTTCCTGTAGATCAGAAAATGTACTGACAAAGTAGTGTCACACAGACACTAAAAGCATACTCATTAAAAAAAGGTAATCAGTTCAATGGTGGTATCAGGGCAGGACTCTAGTGCAACAAGGTGACTATTTTATCAGGATTTTCTTGTAGGGTTAGAGGTGGACAAAGCAGCAGAGTATACATGGAATTTGAGTTGCAAACCAAAGTGGGCATCAAGGAACCGAATTGGGTTGCTCTCTGTGGTTATGAGAGCTCCCAATCACTGAAAGAGCAGTAAATGCTCGTCTATCAGGGATAGAACTATTCCTTTTTGGGTAAGTTTAGAATAGATCATCAATGAATGCTAACATTCTAAAAATATTAAAAATCTAAAATATTTTCATTAACCCAAATTCTATCTAAAGACAGGTGAAACAAACATTTATCTTCCCAAATTGTCAAAGTCCTATTAGGCCTTCTAAATAACAAAAATGAATTAAAAAAAATACACATAACATAAAATTTACCATCTTAACTTTTTGCTTTTTTAAGTTTTGGATGAAGTTTTAATAAAATGTCAGTTGGCCAATTTTACACACATAAGCTTTCTTCATATTTTGTTTTCAAATGAGTAATTTCTGCTTTGGCATTACAGGTCCTCCTTGTAACGTGTGTCTCTATAGATGGAAAACCCTAATTATCCACCAAACCAAAATTATCAAATTTATTTTGAACTTATTTTTAACCATATTTTTATTGAATCCAGAAGTGGGATTACTGGATCATATGGTAATTCTATTTTTAATTTTTTGAAGTATCTCCCTACTGTTTTTCCATAGCAATTCTGTCTCACAGTCTCACTAAGAGTGCACAAGGGTTCCTATATCTCTACAAACTTGCCAACACTTGTTATTGTTTGATTTTTTTTATAGTAGCCATTCTAATGATTGTGAAGTGCATCTAATAACTCTTTTTTTCTTTTTCTTCTTTTTTTTTTTTTTTAGCTGAGCCATCCTGCCACCTGTTGGCAGCTCAGTGGCTGCTCAGCTCGGGCTGGGACTCGAACCACTGTTGCTCAGAGCTCACACTCTTGAGCGAGCTCTTAATCAACTGAGCCACTTGGCCGGCCCTCTAATAACTTTTTAAAACAAGTTATTTGGGAGATATTATTCCAAAAGCTGATGAGTTTAGAAAAAGACAGCTTTTCTCCAGAGAAAAATGTTGCCATAGTTCTCAGCATTTTCAACCTGAACCAAGAGGTATTTTTCCTCTAAAACGATATTATTTATCTAAGTTTTTGATAGGTTTAATTCGGATTGCTGCTAGTGATTAATAGGCTTGGGTAGATTCTGTTACATTTTGCAAAGCCACCCAAATGTTTCTTATTTCAGAATCACAAGATCTAAACATGAGGACTGCACAAATATACCAAGAAAAGGGGAAGTGAAATAGCTAGTGAGAAGGGACTGGGAAAGAACCAGTAAAAAGTTACATAGTTCATCTGAACTTTTACTTAAGTACACAGAACTATAGCTTCATCATTGGTAAACTTTAATGTTTGACTTCAAACATCACAGAAGACAGAAAAGGTGAAACTCCCAATTTTTTAAAAGTCAAATTTCTTTATTTTCTAATATGGTTAAAATGGTTAGAAGAAGGAAGTGAAAATAAATCTTCCATGTAAAACTGTACAACAGTTGGGAGAGGCCCAGCACTGATGTATATTAAACATTAATTTGTTTAAACAAAAGTCTTACTTAGAAGAGGAAGGAAAGCACATGAGCTACTTGGATTCCTTTGAACACACACTTCCCATGATCATATTTAAGAAGTTCAGTGACAAAGGTTATGGAGAAAGAACCGGCCTGCGAACAGCAGTGTCATGTGGTGAAAACGGCTTTGAACTTGGTCTCTGAACTAGGTTTGTCACCTTACTAGCTGTGCAATCTGTGTGAGTGACTCAACCCACCTGAGCTTCAGTTTCCTCATCTATATATCAGAGATAATATCACTTACTTCATAGGACTCTGGTAAACAGTAAATAAGATAATAGGTGTGATACCAAGTAGGGTCAGGTACCTAGTTATTTTGTAGAGATTAAAGCATACATACTAGGGTTTTGGAGCGGGTTTCTCAAGGGGTAACTTCAATCAGAATTTTGTATATTCCCTCCAGAAATATATTTCTTTCCCATCTCAGTCAATTGCCCCATCATCCAACTATCCAGTTGGATAAGCCAAGCCTACCAATGAACCTAGCGTTTTTCCCCTTTCTTCACCCACCAAGTCCATTGGTTCTACTTCTAAAACATATCTCAAATCCAGCCACTTTTCTCTGTCTCCTCTCCCATTGCCATATCTCTATTCTTGTCCCTTTCCAATCTATTTATACTCAGCAGCAAGAATAATCTTTAAGAATATACTACATCTCTCTTCTGCTTAAAACCTTTTCATGGCTCCTCTGTGCACTTAGAATAAAATGCAAATTCTTTACATGATCTGACTCCTACCTGATCTGACTCCCACCTAGCTCTTTAGCCTTATGCTGTATCTCCAGTTTACTTTGCTCCAAGCACACTGGTTTCCTTACTGCTCCTTGAAAAGGGCCAGTGCTTTCCCAACATTTGCACATGCAGTTTCTTCTGCCTCAAACACTCTTCCTTCGGGTTTTATCTCCTACTTCAGGCTGAAATGTCACATCCTCGGAGAGGCCTTCCCTGACCACTAAATCTAAAGTTGCCCCCTGCCCCCTTAACCTTCTATCACATTACAATAAGCCACATACAACAGATCTCAAGCTCCTGCGTGTGTGAATTGAACATTCCCTTTTGTTTCACACCTGGATGCTGTACATCTATTTTGGATTGTATATTGTGTTTGTGTATTTATGCTTTGATTCATAGTAACTTCTCGAGTAATGGAATTGATTTGCATTGAACACAAACTGTAAATAAGAAGAAGTGGCTGAAAGAGTAAAAAAAGGAGGGAGGAGGAGGAGGAAGAAGAAGAGGGAGAAGGGGGAGAAGAAAGAGAAGAACCAACCACACCAGTTCTAGCCAGGGAACCTTGTAAATACCCTCATGCCAGTTTCACCTAAAAAATGGGAATGTGATAATATCAACTACTCTACCAGGTAACTGTAAGAAACACATGAGAATGTATGTAACAGTGAATAAAATCTAAATAGTTATATAAATGTAACGTTATTTTTCAGCAGTACCCAAACTTTCGAACTCATTGTTACTTGAAGCTTAATCTGAATTTAAACATTTAAAAGGCTTTTTGTTTTTATTGCTGTTTCTTCTCTAGCAATCTATGGGGCTTGCTTAGTATAAGCTGTCTGTAAATCTCCAAGTAGGTAACTAAGAAACACACATCAGGTAACTAAGAAACACACATCCTGGCCACAGACTTCCTCCCTATCTGAGCCCTAGTGCTTCCTTCTCCAACTTTGTCAGATTTCCTCAATTTACCCTTCGTATCTCAACCTCTCCCACTTGTTATGGACCCCCATCCCTACCTGTTATGGACTGAACTGTGTCCTCCCCCCTCCCTGCCAACCCAAATTCATATGTTGAAGCCCTAACCCTCAGAGTGACTTATTTCCACATAGAGCCTTTAAGGAAGTAATTAAGGTTAAGTGAGGTCATAAGGGCAGGGTCCTAATTCCATAGTACTACTGTCCTTATAAGGACAGGAAGATCACCAGAGAGACACCTCTTCCCCCCCCTCCCTCCCACCCCCCATTAAAGAGAAAAAGCCATGTGAGGATCCAGTACAGCAAGAAGGTGCCGTCTGTCAGCCAGGAAGAGAGGTCTCATCAGACACCAACCTTGATGGCACCTTGATTTGGAATTCCAGCCTCTAGAGTTGAGAAAATAAAAGTGTTGTTTAAGCCACCCAGGCTGTGGTATTTTTCTATGGCAGCCTGAGCGGGCTGATACAGTTTAATTCTTCTATCCTCTCTCAATTACAAAACACCCTAGTTTTTTATACTCCCATTCTGCCCTGGAGTATAAGAAAAAAGATACTGCTTCCTCCTCTTCTCGCATCTCCTGATCACCTACCAACTAGACCCAAAGTCCCAAGGAGGACAGGAATTGTTCTGTATCGTTCACAGCTGTAACCAGGGTGCCTGGCATGGCAGGCATTCATAAATACTTGTTGAATAAATTACAACCCATTCAGCCTTGAAAGAGACCTTTGCTCACATGTCTTCTCGCTCCAGTATCTCCAATCTCTCTCTACTAGTTCCTTCTCATTTCCACACATTTATAAGCCTTCCCATTTAGAACATAACTCACTTGATACTGTTGCCTTTGCAAATGTCCTGGTTCTCCGGTTTCTTTGAATAAGTGGCTGGATTCTACTAGCCGCAGTTTGTACCATTCAGTCCTCTTCATCCCTTGCAATCTGGTATCAGTTCCATCAACGGGAGAGATGAATGAACCACACACAGTTAAGGAGGCCTACTTTTACACCAAATGCAATCGTCCTTTCCCAGTCCTTGGCTTCCTTGATCTCAATGTCCTATTTTGGACACTGCTGATAACCACTTTCTTTCTTCAATTCTCTACTTTTGTGAGGTTGAAGACACTGCATTTCTGCACGTCTATTTCTCAGACCGCCCCCTCTCTTAGGGCATATTCTAAGGCTTAACTCTGCTCACTTTTTCTCCACTCACTTCCTTCACGAGTGTTTTTAGTGTCTTAAATGATTGAAATCTGGACTCTTTGGTCAACTCCAAGTTGGCAGTTAAAGGTTTCTCTCCTCAAGAAAGAAACCAAAATTTGGAGAAGAGACACCTGTTAAGCCCCTGGATATCAAAATTTCTGTAGTAGCTAGAAAGCCCTTTATTTTAAAATTAATTTGTAAAAGCATTTATCTCTATTAATTGTAGAAAAATTAGAAGAACGTAGACAAGTAAAAATAAGTCACTCATAATTCCATCATCATAGAAAAATCACAATTAATATTTTGGTACATATCATTTCACTTTTAAAATAAATGTTTAAATATTTTTGTTTACACAGTATACAGTTCTATGGCTTAGTCTTTTCATTTAATATCTCATGTCAATAGATAAAAAAGTAATATTTTAATGATATTATATGGATCTATCATAATTTATCTAACCAGTCCCTTAATGTTGCATATTTAGTTTTTTTACAATTTTTCACTCTGCATATGTATCTTTGGGTACTTGTCCTATTATTTACTTAGGATATTATTCCTATCTTATTTAAAGGATGTATTCAAATTGATCCTCAAAGTGTTCTACCAATTTATATTCCCTCCAACAGTTCATGAATGCCTGTTTCTCAATGACTCTCAACAACACTTCACTCTTGCCCATCTGAGTTGGAAATTGGTATCTCACTTAATTTTTTTAATGTATAGATTTTTGATTACTAGGGAGAGTAAACATTTTTTTTAACTGTTTACATTTGTGGATTACTTGTTCTTATCTTACGTTCCTCCCCCAACCACTGATCGTTCTTGAAAAGTTTTTGACCAGAAAGGACCATAAACCCTTGAGGAACTGATTGAATGAAAAAGGCTTAGAGTGGGGCCGGCCGAGTGGCTCAGTTGGTTAAGAGCTTGCTCAAGAGTTTGAGCTCTGAGCAACAGCGGTTTGAGTCCAGCCCGAGCTGAGCAGCCGCTGAGCTGCAAACAGGTAGCAGGATGGCTCAGCTAAAAAAAAAAAAGAAAAAGGCTTAGAGTGAGTTAAGAAAGGAGAGAGGGATGAAAGAAGGGAGGAAGAAAGAGATAAAAAAATTATAAAAGCAAAATAATTTTTTTTGGTAGAAAACTATTTTAAATCAAACTTTATGGAATTGATATATTAAACAGAAAAAAGTGGAGCAGTTCTGGTCAAATTGGAAATGGGTTAACATGCTCAGCCTGCTCTTAGCATAACTATCCCCACTCACCTAGCAGAAGCTGTCTATACCCTGTCTCATTGTCATAGGGTTTCAAGAAACTAAATTTAAAACTACTGTACAAACAAGACCAATGTATTTGTGTTCTTTTCATAAACAATACAATGAGTTAAATTACGGCTGTTTTGATAGAGCTCTCTGCTTCTCAAAGAAAAAGGCCTAAATGAATAGGAAAGTATGTTATCATTCTATTTGACCATGGTATGAAGTATGCCATTCACAACATAAGCGTCTGGTGGCATAGCCACCTATTCAAATTGCAAGTAGAATACCGTACACAGAAGGAACTAACATCTCCTCTAAAGGGCTAGCTTTGCAAATCCATACCTACAAAGTATACTGAACTCCTAAGTCTATTCCTCCAGACCCATCCTTTCATCCAAGGGCTAATATACCCAAAGCATAGCCACTCAAATGTCTTTCTATCATTTCAGAGAGCTCCCATACTTATGATTTTTACCACTAAATTGGTTCCCCTCTCCAATTTCCCCATTTTCTTGCAGCTTTGGAGTTAGCAGTGACTTTCCCTTCCCCTTTTAAACTCACGTCACCAACTCTTACTAATTCTTCCCTTACAGAGACACATAGGGTCAAATGTTTCTTTCCTTCATTGCCACTACTTTCATCTGGACCCTTGCTACTCCATGTCTGGGTTGCTGCAAGTCTCCCATCCTACAGGCTATTGCAAAATTAATTTTTAGGCAATGTAACGTCGGTTGGCTCTGTTTAGCCGTCTGACCTGGTTTCTGGACTGTTTTCCGGTCTTGGTTTTCATCTCTATTTCAGAGTATAACATGAGAGAGAAAGAAGTTTCCTTTAACCTCAAGGTTCTTTCAGCTGGTGTAATAATTAAGCCTACATGAGACAGACTACCAAGAGAAAATAATCAAATTTAATACATACATATGCACGGGAAGCCCACCTCCATGAGAGTCAGAGACCCCACAAACATGAGAGGTTCAGGGACAGAAAGTTAAAATGAGGTATATATAACATTCTGAACTAAGGATGAGGCAAGTCACCTTGGGGCTTTAGAGTGTCACTGCAGGACACTAAGAAGAGCAGATGTTCAGGAATTAGTAGTTTGCCCTGCCACACAGATAGGTCAAAAAAGGTTATCTTTGATAATTTTATTCTGGGCAAAGCCCCTAATTAATTGAAATTCTTCTAGTTAGCTGTAGGGGTGCAGGAATTTCTCTTGAGCCCATAGGGTCTCAGTTGGCTTTAGCACAAAATAATCTGTATACCACAGAGGCACATCTTGGGGTGACTCATTCTGAACCCCGACAGTAGGATGATCCAAGTTTTCCAAACATTAGCTTGTCAGTGCTATACAAGAGAGGCAGGAAGCCAGCGTGAGCGGCCAGCAGCCGCAGTGAGCGGCCGTCCAGAAGCTGGCGACTGATCTGCCTCGCCCGGGAAGAGCGCAATGATGGTGCCAACTTGGGCCAGTGAAGCAACGTCCTCCACAACTAGACTGAAGAACAAAACGACAGCAACTTGTCTGTTCCCCTTCCCCCAATTCCCCAGCGCTGTTCCCATCACCCCAATTCCCCAATAAAAATCTTTAAAAAAAAAAAAAAAGAGGCAGGAAAGCTAAATATCACTAGTGGCTTTATGAATTGTCTTTCGATCTCCTCTTTAACTGTCAGATCTGACTGCTTTAGTTGTGATCTTATTTTGATGCCTGGTTTCAGACTGCTGTCAATATTTACATTTTTCTTTTGGTACTGAAATGATTATGTCATGTTATTGTCTAGCAGTTTTGGTTCTTGCTTTTAATGTTTCAAGTTCAGCCGCCTACTTAAGACACAAAACTTGCAGTCCTGAACAAACTCTTCAACCTGGTGCTCTTCAATTGGCATCCTTACCCACTGCCGATTCTCTCTTGATGATTTTTTCTCTTTAAATGCATCTTTCCAAGACTAACATGGTGCACAACTCTAAGCAGAACCATTCACATTGTATTGTATATTAATGATTTCCCAAATATATTATGATTTATGTTTTACGTTCTCTTCTCCCAACTCACAGCAGCCATTCTTTCTCTACAGTTGTGGCTACTAGATGCCCACCTCTTGTCAGGGCCCCACCCCAATTTCTAGAGCCGCCCTGGCCAGAAATAAGAGGTTTAATGGGACTCAGCACTAACTTACCCCTATTAACTATAGTCCAGGGCTATTACTCTGTTCTTCAGCTCTAGTAAATGAGCTTCTTTCCAAGACCTGGGTCCCAGTTCTGGTTGATATCTTGAGTCCTGTTTTGCCTTGGTAATATGGCAGCGCTACAGAGAAGCTTTTACTACTTCAAAGTTAAAACTCCCTCATGCCAATTGCTTGCTGAAATGCCTGCCAACTATTGTCCAATTGCCATGCACTTGATATACTAGTGGCATGCTGGACTAGACCTGTCAAATCTAGGTCCAGGCTCATCCCAGCAGAAAGGTCTAATCACATCTTTTGACCACTTCTCTAGCCTTCCCCACCACATCCAGCTCATAATGAAAGGACAGCTAACCTCTTATGAAACATGATTCCCCAATCAAAAAGCAGTATTCAGATGTTTTCTGATAATATCAACTCTTCTTGTTACAGATACTATACTTTTATTAAGTAAATTAAAGTTACCTTGACTATAAAATTATCAAACTTTAAAAAAAAGATTTTCTAAACATCTTTACCATACTGGGTACTTTATCCTCTATTGGATGACACAAAATATATGCTGGCCTTATGATATGAACTGCTCTAAATCATAACAATGCAAAATATGGAAAGAAGAAATAACAAAAAGAATTATATCAAATATGATCAAAATGATCCCTAGTTACTATAAGCATAAATTATAAGTAAAGTGAAAATGACTGATTTAATGGATTACCTGCCGAAGTTATTTATTCAAATGTCAAGAAGCAACTTCTTTACCATAAAAGTGTTTCCATATTTTCTTTTATTTTCCTTACTCTAGAGAGAAATCTCAGGTGCATTTTACTCATCAATGCATCACCTCAACAAATTCTGCCAAAAATAAAAATCTATAAAAAGCATATGTGAAATTACAACTGCAAAAAAAGAAAAAACAATGAAGAACCCTTATTTTGTTCTTGGAAAACTTTATTTCAGTTTAAACAAAAAAGCAAAAGTTACTATGTCATTCAGGGACAGGTGGGAGTACGGTCATCTTTCATAGGTGTAAACTGGCAAACTCCAAATGAGAGATGTGATCTAGGTGAAAGACACTTATCAGTCCAGATTATATTTACCTCCCAAAGATATCACGAAAATTAGTCAAAAAGAGTACAAACAGATTTACATAAAGTCACATCAGAAAAACTGAGAAAGTGATGGCTACTGGTGTGGGAAATTCTGTTTCATACTCAGGAGAATAAATTCTTAAAGGTCAGGAACAGGTGGTTTGTACTGTAAGTATTAAAAACAATGATATGTACTTTTATCAGTTTCATATGATTATTAGGACTCAAGATGTTATTTAAAATCTACATATAGGCCCAAACACTTAGTCATTGACCAAAATGGAAAATTTACATTTCTTTACAGGAAACATAAACATATGACTATTTGGATCTTGTCTTAATTTACAATTGATAAGCCCAATTCTAATATTTACAGAAAAAAAAGAAAAAAGACATGGTAGCATTGTCACACACCTGAAGATTCCAAATAGAATGTCCCCATTAACAACAGCAACCAAGAAATCTAATTCAGTCTACAGATTTTATTTCTGATTAAGTAATGAACTTTCAGTTATTTCTTTGAGTCTGCCTTCTATTAATAATGTACTACTTGTCAGATAACTACATCGTTGATTTCCAAGCTTTCCTTCCATTGTATTTTTCCCTTTTGACTAAGATGTACCTAGAAATAACAAGATAACTCAGAATAGCTGTAATGGCCTTCAATAATTTTGTTTTACTAATTAGTTGACTTATTCCAGTAAAGGCTAATATCAAATTATCCAGTAGTCTTTGATTGAAGAATTACTTATAATAATAGAATCATATACAGAAATCTTAATCAAGAATCTTCTACTTATATCTTATAACCAGTTATCTTTCTAAACAAACTATTTACAAATGTAAAATATGCAATAATGTTTAAAATAAATATACAATTTGTAGTTTCTACATTCTCAGACAGGCTTAAAAATGAGGTAATAAAACGTAATCGATTAAACCTTTTACCATTCTGGAAACGGTTTAGGAAAATAATAGTGAAAATTCTTTGTCTTAGGTCTTTTCATGTTTTCTTTGAATGCTTCTGAGTACTTCCTTTTCTATGCTGAAAAATTGTGTAAAAAATCCTTAAGCTTTGTTGGATAGTCTGTCATCACCCCAGTTGCTCCCAAATCAAAAGCTCTTTTGTATTCTTGTTCTTCATTTAATACCCAAATATACACCTAAAAATTAGAAGCATGAGAAGTATGAGAAGAAATGTTAAGATAGAAAATTATTTTTATAATAGCATTTATCCACTACAATCTCAGCACACTTAGAAATAATCTTTTAAACCTGCGATTTTAAGAAATCATTGAACCCTTTAAAACATGCCACTTTGCTCATTAAATATGCACCGTCCCAACCCTCTGTCCTCAACTATTCTCAACTATACATACAAGGTCTGACAATTAAGTTCACGAACTCGTTCTAGAAAAAGTGCTATATACCTCATTGCTGAATATTACACTGTCACCTTTGAAGTACTCCCCTTGGGAAGCTATGCACTGATGCCAGCACCTAGTCCATCCTTCTAAGCAATTTTGGAACTCTTTTTCTGGAATGGCCATCAGAGCTGTCATCGTATTACCCTTGATTCCTGAATGTCATCAAAATGCCTTCCTTTCAATATATCTTTTATCTTCAGGTAAAGAAAGAAGTCATTAGGAGCCAGATCAGATGTTCCTATATGGTTATTTGTTTACTGGCTAAAAACTCCCTTACAGACAGTGCTGTGTGAGCTGGTGCATTGTTGTGATGCAAGAGCCATGAATTGTTGGCGAAAAGTTCAGGTTGTCTAACTTTTTCACACAGCCTTTTCAGCACTTCCAAATAGTAAACCTGGTTAACTGTCCAGTTGGTATGAATTCATAATGGATAATCCCTCTGATATCAAAAAAGGTTAACAACAGCGTTGCAACAAGTTTGCGAACTCAATTGTCAGACCTCAGTGAGTGGACTCTAGTTACTGAAATGCCACTGCTCTTTTGTTAACTGTAAGGAAGAGATTAAGGTCTTCATATGCGAACCAGTAAAGCAGAATCATCAGAGTTGGGATCAAATTAAGTCAGTTAAAAGTTCTTGCCCCTTATACTTGGGTTAAACTGGTAAACTATACTGTTTCCAAAATTCATCATTCCAGAAATTTACCTGAATGCCTCGGGCAGTGAGGTGGTCAAACAAAGCTTTTCTCATTAGTAAACTAGAACAGAAAAGCAGAACAGGTTTAGGTACTTCTAAGCCCTACAAAGGACTAAAATTAGTCCTTAGTCCTAACTTAAGTCAATTTAGAATTTATAATTTCTAGTTGAATTTAATCCCAATGCTTCAACAATACAAGCAATGGCCTCAAATAATAATAGCTGCTATGGATGCATTTATATCATAACTGCTGGATCGCTTTTCATTGCTGGCTGCTTGCTGGTGAACAACAAGAACTTTTTTCCTACTCCTTGCTGCCACTAGATCCTCAAGAGGCCCATTCTTATTGAAACAGCTCAATGGCTTCCTCATGCTTTCTGCTGGAGCCATAATAAGAGTGAGAAAGAGCTGAGAAGTCTGTGTTCCTAAGTTTGCAAGTTAAAATAAGGTGGTGAACTTGAGTCAAGTTCTGTAACATCACAGTTCATTTACAGAATGAATTAGTCTTTTGCGAGCTATCTTAGAACCTAACGTCCTTTAATTATGCTATCCTATATATAGAAAAAAAAGCTTTTTTTGTTTAGCTCCAAATAACTGACTTCAAAGTGAATTTTTAGAAAACAAATCACTTGAGCAAGATGGGAACTAGTTGTGCTGGAAAGTTATACATACAATTCCTATTGTTTATGTTTATTAGAATGATTAAGTAACAGAAACTAAAAATCACATGCATTTAACAGTTAAAAATATGTCCTTGAAAATGAGAAATTAAATCAGGAATAAAGCAAAAAACAATAAAGTCTGTGGCACAGAGAAAAGATGTAACTGGTTTTCTATCTCTTTGAAAGAGGAGTTAGTTAAAAAGGTTGTGACTAAGGACTATTGGTTAAGCACTCAAGGGGGGAAAATGGGGGAGATCCAAGATGGTGGAGTAGATAAACACTGTGCCTGCTTCCTTCTGTGCACACATTAAAATTACAACTAAATTATAGAACAGTCAACCTGGTGAACCATCTGAAATCTAGCTGAACAGAAGTTTTATAACTAAGGATATAAAGAAGAAGCCACATCAAGACTGGTAGGAGGGGTGGAGATGCGGAACTGGCTAACCCCAAACCTCCATGTGGTGGTTGAGAACAGTGAGGGGTATCTTGGCTGCAGAGTTTCCCCAAAAGGAGTGAGGGACTCCAGCCTCACACCAGCCTTCCCAGCCCAGAGTACTGGTGCTGGGAAGAGGAGCCCCCACAACATCTGGCTGTGAAAAACAGTGGGGATTCTGACCATGCAGATAAGATGAAAGGTAGGCATTCTCTTAAAGGGTCCAAGCACAGACTCTCTCACTCCCAGGCTCACTCCTTGGGCTCCAGTAGAAGGAGAGTAACTCAGGGGGTAGGGGTGTCAGAGACATACGAGGGGTAGACTCAGTTGTGTGGGTTCGGGACAAGGGCTGGAGGACAGTCAGCATTTTCCCTGTGAAGGGTCGGTCCTTCTCCTGTGCAGACGGCAGGCTGGTGCCATCTTTCCTGTGTTGAGCCCTTCCCCTACGTTTATGGCCAAATCTGAATTTGAGCTCCACAGCTCCACACTGCTGACTCACTGGGACCCCACCTCACCCAAAACCCCCAATAATGAGGCACTTTCTCCAAGAGCAGTCAGCCCCACCTGCATTGCATTCTTTCTTAGAATACTGTCAGAGTCCAACAGACCCCAGACAGGCGGCGACTGGCCTTGGTGTGCTCTGAGATGTTTGCTGAGTAGCTGCAAGCTCAGCACTGGCACCAAACCAGAATTTACTTTAACCTGGTGACCACAACTCTTCCAACTCTAGTGACTCCCTGAGACCCTACCTCACCCAACTGGGATACTGCACGAGGCTTTACCAGTGGCTGTACCTTAAGGGAGCTGGCAGGAGGCAGCAGGTCTTGGGGAGTCCTGGAATTATGTGGAGCTACCCCAGGCCTGGCACTAATGGCAGATGCCCTCAGTTCACAGCATGGCATCCCCCACGCACTTCCAGGGTTAGCACAAGCAGCAAACAATCGCAGATCACTTTGTAATTCTTACCAGGTAGTCCCGGGCCGGGGCCGGTCACTGGCAGTGGGTGACCTGGGCCGGTACTGGAGTCCCTTGCAAGAGGCACCAGAACCAAAGAACTTGAACGTTGGCTTCAGACCACAGCAGAGCACCACCCAATTAGCCCCAAAAGCGGCACACACAAAGGGTGGTCTTAACAGGTACCAGAGCTCACTGGGATGAATCCCACTCAGTGGGGTAAGCCCCCTGCACAGCAGCCCATAAGCTGTAGACATGGCAAAACCCCACAGCCAATTAGCCTGAGGGTCAGACCCACCCACTGACATGCCAATAGCAACCAAGGCTCAACAATAACAGGAGGGCACATACAACCCACACATGGGACACTCCTGGAGCAGGTGACCAGGAAGGCTGTGCCACTGGGCCCCACAGGTCACCTACTACATAAGGCTACCTGTCCGAGACTGGGGGATATAGCAGATCTCCCTAATACATAGAAGCAAACAGAGAGGCAACCAAAATGAAGAAACAAAGAAATATGTCCCAAATAAAAGAAGAGGAGAAAACCCCAGAAAAAGAACTAAACGAAATGGAAGCAAGAAAACTATCACATACAGAGTTCAAAACAATGGCTGTAAGAATGCTCAAGGAACTCAGTGAGAACTTCAACAGAGAGATAGCAAGCAGAAAAAAGGACATAGAAACCTTAAAAAAGAACCACTCGGGGGCCGGCCGAGTGGCTCAGTTGGTTAAGAGCGCGAACTCTGTGCAACAGGGTTGCTGGATCGATTCCCACATGGGCCAGTGAGCTGCGCCCAAGCTGAGCTGCCGCTGAGCTGCCAACAGGTGGTAGGATGGCTCAGCTGGTGAGAGGAGGTTCTCCTAACAACAAGGTTTCCGCTTCAACTCCCACATGGGATGGTGGGTTATGCCCACCCACAACTAAGATTGAACGCAGCACCTTGTGCTGAGCGGCTGCAAGCTGCCGACTGGCAGCCGAATGGCGACTGGACTTGGAGCTGAGCTAGCTGTGCCCTCCACAACTAAGATTGAAGGACAACAACTTGGCTGTTCTCCTTCCCCAACTCCCCAACACTGTTCCCCTTCATCAATTCCCCAATAAAATCTTTAAAAAAAAAAAGAAAAAGAACCACTCGGGAGTGAAGAATACAATAACTGAAATGAAGAATGCACTAGAAGGAATCACCAGCAGACTTGATGAAGCAGAGGACTGAATCAACAATTCAGAAGACAAAGTAACAAAAGAAAACCCCCCACTGGAACAGCAAAAAGAAAAACGAATTAAAAAAAAAATGAGGATAGTTTAAGAAACCTATGAGACAACATCAGGCATAACAATGTTCGCATCATAGGGGTACCAGAAGAAGAGAGAAAGCAAGGGATTGAGAACCTATTTGAAGAAATAACGACTGAAAACTTTCCTAACCTGGTGAAGGAAATGGATATACAAGTCCAGGAATTGCAGAGAGTCCCAAACAAAATGAACCCAAACAGGCCCACAGCAAGACACATTATAATTAAAATGGCAAAGATTAAAGACAAAGAGAGAATCCTAGAAGCAGCAAGAGAAAGGCAATTAATAACTTATAAGGGAGCTCTCATAAGATTGTCAGCTGATTTCTCAACCAAAACTTTACAGGCCAGAAGAGATTGGTACAAAATATTCAACATAATGAACAGCAAGGACCTACAACCAAGATTATTTTACCCAGCAAAGCTATCATTTAGAATCGAAGGGCAGCTAAAGAGCTTCCCAGACAAGAAAAAACTAAAGGAGTTCATCATCTTCAAACCAGGAATGTTAGAGGGACTTCTTTAAGATGGAAAAAAAATAAAAATTATGAATAATAAAATGGCAATAGCTACATATCTATCAACAATTACTTTCAATATAAATGGATTAAATGTTCCACTCAAAAGACATAGGAGGGCTGAATGGAGAAGAAAATATGACCCTTACATATGCTGCCTACAAGAGACCCATTTTAAATTGAAAGACACACACAGACTGAAAGTAAAAGGATGGAAAAAGATATTTCATGAAAATGGAAGTGAAAGAACAAAAAGGCTGAAGTAGCAATACTTATACCAGACAACAATAGACTTTAAAACTAAGGGTATAAGGGGCCGGTTGAGTGGCTCAGTTGGTTAAGAGCTCACTCAAGAGTGTGAGCTCTCAGCAACAGCAGTTCGAGTCCTGGCCCGAGCTGAGCTGTTGCTGAGCTGCCAACAGGTAGCAGGATGGCTCAGCTAAAAAAAAACCCCCAAAAAACAAAGGCTATAACAAGAGATTAAAGAAGGACCCAGTAATCCCACATCTGGGTACTTATCTGAAGACACCCAAAATGCTACTTTGAGGAGACAAGTGCATCCATATGTTCATTGCAGCATTGTTTACAATGGCCAAGATGTGATGGCAGCCTGGGTGTCTGTCGATGGAAAAATGAATAAAGAGGAGGTGGTACATATATATACTGGAATATTGCTCGGCCAGGGAAGGGAATTGGTTCTTGCCATCTGTGGTGGCATGGATGGACCTGGAGGGAATTGTGCTGAGTGGAGTGTCAAACAGAGAAAGACAGATGCAATGAGATTTTGCTTATATCTGGAATCTAAAGAACAAAATAAACAAACAAAACACAAACAAACTCATATATACAGAAAACATTTTGATGGTTGACAGATGGAAGGGGTGTTGGGGATGAGAGAAAAAGGAGAAGGGATTAAGAAGTACAAATTGGTTGTTACACAGTAGTCATGGGGACGTAGGTTTTCATAAGGAATATAGTCAGTAATGTTGTAATAACTAAGTATGGGTCAGATAGGTACTAGATTTGTTGGGGTGATAGATGGGGGGGTTGGGAGGCAGGGTGTAAAAGGTGAAGGGGTTAATAAGCACAAAGTGATAGTTACAAAACAGTCATGGGGATGTAAAGTAAAGCATGGAGAATATAATCAATGATACGGTAATAACTATGGATAGTGCCAGGTGGGTACTAGACTAGTCAGGGGGATCACTTTTTAAATTATAAAAATGTCTAACCACTATGCTGTGCACCTGAAATTAATATAATATTGAATGTCAACTGTAACTGAAAAATTAAAAAGGGGGGAAGGTGAAAGGGAATAAGAGGTTCAAATCTCCAGGTACAAAACAAGTAAGTCATGGGGATGTAATGTACAGCATGGGGAATATAGTCAATAATATTGTGATAGCATAGTATGGTGTCAGATGGTTGCTGGACTTATCATGGTGCTTATCATGGTGATCACTTCTTTAGGTGTATAAATGTTGAATAACTATGGTGTACACCTTAAACTAATATAATGTTGTATGTTAGCTATATTTTAATAAATATCTTTTTAAAAAATTAAGCATTCTCTATTTTAAAGCAAAATACAGCACAATAACTGTGGTTATTACCTAAAAATAAATTCAGCACATCTTAGAAATTAAGGCATTTTCTTCAAAGTAGATACCCACCCCTTAGGTAGAACTTCCTTTCTGCTGTTAAGTCTTGGTGCAGATTTTTCTGAGAAATGTGCCATTAGTCAATATACATTTTACATATACTGTATTGCTATACACACTTGTTTGCATCATGTTTTTGACTGCAGGCTAGTGGACACAGCAAATAAGCAGAAGGGAATGGTTCTATATCCCAGCTCTGCTACTAACTAGCTAGATAACCCCAAGTAAATCATTTAACTTTGGTTGGGTTGGTGCTCAGTTTTCTCCTGAAGCTGAATGAGATTGTCTCCCCAGATTCCTCCTAGAGCTTTGTGCCTGGTAATTAAGCTAGTTTTAAATGACTCATGCACATCTTTTTGTATGGTAGGTACCCTACATATCCTTATTAGAAATTACATGTAGACAGCGTGCACTAAATTATAAGCACAGTATTTAACAGATACAGCTAAAACAATAACTTATATATCAAGAAACGAAAATTCTTACATATCAGAAAGCCAGATGAGAAACTTTTGACTTCTGGACATGGTGTGTGGCTCTTTTAGCCTAAGGCAAAATAAAATTGGAATCACAAATTAGAAACAAAGGGAAATATCAGTGTGATAAAATAAAACAAGTTTGAAACAAAAAGTATCTTGCACTTGGTATCTGCTCAAAAATATTTGTAAAAGGGCAAAAATAAATTCAAATAAAGCCCGTGTGGGATCTCCATTTTCAGTGATTTTAGCCTAACTTTTTGCTACCACTATTCAAAGATTAAAAAAAAAAAAAGTTATCTTTCCAGAGACCCTGAGTGCCCAGGGCTCATGTCTCTTTTTTCGTGAAGCTTCTTTCTCTTGCTTTGTCTGCTATAATTTAGTATATAGTAGGTTTAAACATACAACCAAACCTTTTATGCATTAAAAGAGATTTGGGGGAAAAATGAGACTAAAAAAAAAAACATCTAAAAGCATGTTTTTCTTTCCCTTTCAATATTTAAAGACTTAAGCCCTATACTTTTTAATTACCTTTTCTATTGAAAGAGCATACTTGGCTTTTAGACCTATGTTGACTTCCTTCTTCGAGCTCTTTGACGCCTAAAGGAGCACAACTCTTTTAGGTATCATTCACTTTGGGTTGTGTCCCTAGGAAATCTGATTAGCCTCTCTACTATGACGATTTCTCAGCTTCTTTCTAAGTCTACACACAGTGATTTTCAATCTCCCCAGATCTTCATTTCTTGTTTTCTTTCAAACACTGCCTATCCATATTCTAATACAATTCTGAGCCTCCACATTTAAATTCATCTTTTTTTCCTCTTTGAATTCAGTTTTTATGAGAAGCTCTCTCTAAATAAAATCCCTTTTCCCTAACTTTAGCCAAGGTGAAAAGTCCTGGTTGCAATTTCAGGCATCTCAGGGATTTAGTATCTCAAATACTAATTACTTCGCTAAACACAAATTATTATGTTATCTTAGGAAGTTTTCCATTAAAAGAAAAAAAAATCAAAACACACACATTATATTCTACCTGTCTTAATCCATAACCACTTTTTAAAGAAAAGATTAATTCTATGAAGTTTGTTCATATGTCTGTATTTCCATCATACTTGCTTCTAAAAGGAACGCATGGAGATAATCTAAAGAGAATAATGGTCCATTCCAGGCCAGGGGAAAGCTAGTACTTTAGGAATAAATGGTTAGGAATCATTTTCATCTAGCAAATGAAAATTATTTCTTTGTAATTGATTTCTGTTCTTCTGTCTGAAAAACACAAAGAATGCTAATAAACGTATAATTGGGAATAGATAAAAATGCTCATCCCTAAGAAACTTAAATTGGAAAACAAACATGAAACATAGATATCGAGTACAAGGGTATTGACCAAATTGCTTTTCTTACTAATAGTTTCTAATGATAATTTTCTAATATTAAGCTTGATTTTTTATAAAGTTCTGTTTGGGGTTGAAAAACTTTTCATGCAGGTGAATTCACATTTAAACAATATCCCCAGGAGCTCCAAATTCCTTTGTGATGACTCAGTTATTATCATAAATTTACAGCTAGAACTCACTTTCTAAGGCTGCAGGATCGTGAGATAAAGCTATCTTTCTTTAACAATAATGATAAAGATAATTTCATAAAAATTACTAAAATTTTAAATTTTTATGAAATTATCTATAAAAGCTATCAATAAACAATAAAAGCTATCATTTGTTGAGTGTTTTGTTTGCCAGGCAATCCTAAGTGTTTTATATATTTTTACCTTTATAGTAAATTAGTGTGTAAAAAGCAAGGCTTTGTATCCTGTAGAGAAGTTATATAAATATGAAGTATCTTATATAAACTAATTCTATTCTTTTCTTTATCCCAGAGGTTTTTTTGGGGTCGTTGTTGTGGTGGCAGTTGTTTTTCTTCTAAATGTATTAATACTAGTGGTGAATTTGGAGTTTAATGGAATTTCAGCTGTGTATAGTTGTCAATGAAGTAGAAAAACGGGAAGTTGGAGGGCAATCGCTATTAGATGTTAGAATGAAATAATCAGTAAGCTTCAACAATTAAGTTTAATTCTTTTTACAAACTTCTGAATACACAGGCACAGAAAGCCACTGTTACCTGAGATGGGTCCAGATTAAAAACTTATAAACCTTGGGTGAAGTCATGGCGCCTGTGAAAAAGCTTGTGGCTAAGGGAGGCAAAAAAAAGAAGCAGGTTCTGAAGTTTACCCTCGACTGCACCCACCCAGTCGAAGATGGAATCACGGATGCTGCCAATTTTGAGCAGTTTCTTCAGGAGCGAATCAAAGTGAATGGAAAAGCTGGGAATCTCGGTGGAGGGGTTGTAACCATTGAAAGGAGCAAGAGCAAGATCACTGTAACTTCTGAGGTGCCTTTTTCCAAAAGGTATTTGAAATATCTCACCAAAAAGTATTTGAAGAAGAACAATCTACGTGATTGGTTGCGCGTAGTTGCTAACAGCAAAGTTACGAATTGCGTTACTTCCAGATTAACCAGGACGAAGAAGCGGAGGAAGATGAGGATTAAAACTCATTACTCTGGAATGTTTTGTATGAGTTCTTAAATAAAACTGAGGAACCAAAAAAAACAAAAAAACAAAAAAAAACTTATAAACCTTTATTATTCATTTTAGAGAAAGTGTTAATATAGGCCAGCTAATCAAACGTGGAAATAACTACAGCAATCAATTCTTTATCATTGATATTGATATTGGTATTAATGAGCTTCATCTTAGTCCTCCTTGATAACTGATAAAAACAAGTAGCCACTTACTTCAATATGATGGAAGGCATTGGGATTTCAAAGAACTGTTCTCGAATGGGCACAAAGGGCAAGAGGCCAGTGAAGAACAGGCCAAGAATGAGCAGAACACGTTGTAGACTGAAGAGTACAGGAATATCTGAATTCTAAAAGACACAAACAGTATTACATGTTACTTTATGACTGCTCAGATAACAGGGATTATTTCACAACCCTCAAAATTTCCCACGACTGTATTTTGACATCTGTCAAAAGTGCCCCCTGAATTATTAATATCCAAACACACCACACTTGAAAATGGCTAGTCCTTGACAAATGGGTCAGGATCTATCTTGGAGCCCCACAGTGTTAGCTGTTGATACTAAAGTTTCTCTAGTCCCTACTCTCTACTTTTGCAACACCGCTTCTGTCTATTGGTGATTGCTTCTCAGATAAAGAAGATATGAAATAATGAGTAACCTTACCCCCGTTTTTGTTTTTGTTTTTGTTTTTTTTAGCTGAGCCATCCTGCCATGTGTTGGCAGCTCAGCGGCAGCTCAGCTTGGGCCAGGCATTGAACCACTGTTGCTCAGAGCTCGCATGCTTGAGCGAGCTCTTAACCAACTAAGCCACTCAGCTGGCCCTTACCCTCATTTAAAATATGTAACTATATCTATACCTAGATATAGTTATACATTTAAAAATAGGATATGACAAATATTAATATCTATATATAGATATATATTAATACTGTTGCAAATATGTCATCTTTCAGCTACAGTGTAGCTCAAATATAAATAGGATTTTGTAAGCTAGTCAAAGAATCTAACCACCATTTTAAGTTTCTATTGGAAAATGTGTTGAAGATCCCAAAACCCTTAGCATGCAAGCTTCATATATATATATATATATATATATATATATATATATATATATATATGAACTCTTTTCACATTGCAAAATTGAAACTCTGTACCCTTTAAACAACTCCCCATAAGCCCTCTCCCTAGTCCCTCCTATATTTGTCTTTAAAACAAAAATTATGATAAATTAGAATTTTCTGTATAAAAGTAACATATTAAAACAATAATGCAAAGAAGTAATTTATTTTAAATATTAGGTCTAAATTACTCACCTCTTTATTATAAAAAATATATACAGTAAATAAGTTTAAGGATTTATTTTCCCCCTATGTTTTCATGCTGCTTTTTAGATTTTTCAGCTTATTAATATACAGGTATTTCAGCTGCAAAACAATACACAAGTCCCTGAAAAACCTTGACTTCTGTAAATTCATACCCTAAGAATCACAGAGCTAAGGGGAAAAAAAGGGTTAGGGGCTGACCCTCAAAACTTATGCAACTTTGGAACCAGAGAATTAAAAACTGTAACTGGTACTTCTCGAGAGCCATGTAAGGCTGCTGGTGGGATAGGGCGGGGAGTGGTACTGGCATTCCACTGGCATAACAACTGGCTGCACCCCATATCTTTTAAATTAGACTACCTGGGATGGGACCTACGCATTAGCCTTTTTTGTAGCTGTTCAGGTAATTGCAACATACAACCAAGACTAAGAACCACTGCAGTGAATACCAGTGAATAAGTCATTATGTGAGAATAAGTGCCACATGTTTTCCCATCTCCAATGTGCAACCCACTTTCTTTTATTTTTATATTTTTAGTTTATAGCATCTGGGAATGAAAGGGCTAATGTAAAATTCCTATAAATCATACTTTAAGAATTGTAAAAGATGCATGACTTAATTATATAGCATGTTCATAATATGAATTACAAATATTATTGAGACATTCTTACCATGATGTTTGAAAATTACTGCTGAAAGTTTGGGAGTTTTTAAGTCCTGTTAATAAAATGACAGAAAGCCAGAGGCGTCTAGAAAAATACGTGAATCAAAGGAAAAGTTCTGTGATTCTGGCCAAAAGTGAATTTTTTTATTTTGAAATAATTATAGATTCACAGGAAATTGTAAAAACACAGTAGAGTCCCATATACCCTTAACCCAGCTGCCCCAAATGGTGACAACTGATGTAACCGGATGCATCAAAACCTGGAACTGACATTGGTACAATACTGTGAATTAGACTATAGACCTTATTCAGTATTCGCTTGTACATGTGTATAGTTCAGTGCAATTTGCACCATGTATAGATTCGTGTGACCACGACCAGAGTCAAGACACAGGGCAGTTCCATCACCACACAAGAACTCCCTGTACAACCTGTTTGTATTTGCATCCTCGTCACTGTCCCCTGGCAGCCACAAATTTGCTCTTCCTGCCTATAGTTTTGAGATTGTTATATAAATGGAATCATACACTATGTAACCTTTTGTGGTTAATTTTTTTCACTAAGCAGAATGTCTCCGAGGATCATCCAGATTATTACATGCATCAATAATCTGTTCTTTTATTGCTGAATAGTATTACATTGTATGGATGTGTCAGTTTGTTCAGCCATTTACCCATTGAAGGACACTCGGGTTGTTTCTAGAATTTTGGCACTATGAATACAGCGGCTATAAACATTCGTGCACAGGTTTTTGTGTGTATAAGTTTTCGTTTTTCTGAGATAAACGTACAAGAGTGAGATTGCTAGTCAATATGGTAAGTATATGTTTAGTTTTGTAAGAAGCTATCGAAATAATTACGAGGGTGGCTTCTCCTCTCTTCCCCAACATTTGCTATTATCACTATTTTTTAGTTGAAAAAAATTTCAGTGATGCAAAAAGATCAGCAGGTCATTACTCCTGAAAATACCATCAGACAATCATTATTATGGAAAAGTCTTAGTTGTAAATTCTTAGGGATCTGAAGGCACTCAGACCAGTAATTATCTTGTTTTCTCCTTTTGTATACAAGCTACCTTGGGATCCCACAGAGCCTGCTGCACATAAATAAGTTACTTGCCTTAATGAGGGCCTCCATTGTACTTTTAATTGTAATGCTGCTGATATTGGATCTGTGTTTTTGCCTTCCTTGCTAGGGAGGAAGGTCTTCCCAAAAGAATTCTTTGTATTTTGGAATTGCTACTTGTGTCCTATTTCTCCTGCATTATCATTTGTATTCTGAAAGACAGTCTTCAATTTTTTTTTTTTAAATTGGGGAATTGGGGGGATGGGAACAGCACTGGGGAATTGGGGGAAGGGGAACAGACAAGTCGCTGTCGTTTTGTTCTTCAATCTAGTTGTGGAGGACGTTGCTTCACTGGCCCAAGTTGGCACCATCATTGCGCTCTTCCCAG